CACCACCAGCTTGTGGTAATTAAAAGATTGTAGGACTAGGCTACCATGGAAACTCCACTCAACAACAGCAGTAGCTGTAGGCATGTCCCCTAGGATTGATCTTTAAACATCAGTATTTGTACTAAAATATTCTTTCTGTCCTGATTTGTGGACATTAGGATCTAAAGAGAAGCGCCACCTCCTGGTCAGACCCTGTAATTCAGTGAGAGGGTGGAGTCAGAGTGAAAACATATGCTAGAGGGGATCATTCCACTGGCTGAAAGCTGGCTGCCATAGGGCTGGCGTTTGACTGGGAAGCCATATTGAATGGCTGCTACTGTATCAACACCTGGATTAAAAAATAATTCTGCTTTACTGTAATGTTTTTAGAGTAATAAAGTATTTTTAGAATTGAATGAATGGCTGTGTTGCAGGATGCCATACGTTTTTTTTTAATTGAGATGCCATCATTCTGCTTTTCAGGCTCTTCCTGAACAGCTGGGAAAGCTGGAGGAAGAGTCAAACACTAAACCCAGAAACACCGAGTCCAACCAGAAACAGGCCATTCAGCTCCTACAGACTGAACTGCAGGACACCCGGGCAGCTTTACTGGAAAAGGAAAACACAATCCTGAAGCTAAAGGACAAACTACAAGAGTCTGAAGTATGTCTCTAAACTAATGAGACCTCTTTAATATATTCTATAGGTTTGCTTTGCTAAAAGTGTCGGTCCTCCTCCTTGTTTAGAAGAAAGCGTCGCCCAGTGCAGCTGAGCTGGAGAACCTGCGGAGCAAGCTGTTTGACATGGAGCTGAAGATGGCCTCAGCCACTGAAGAACACCAGCAAGAGTACGGATTTAACTACTGCTCGCCTCGCTTCTTTTCATTGGCTAGTTTTCAATCAATTAGTAATTATATAGCAAGAGATTTTAATGAAAATAAACCAGGTGAAACTAAAACTTTTCCACTTTAGGATTTCTGGATAGAGCAGAATGACAGACAGAAATGTTTTTTTTTATCTTCAATTCAAAATGTTTTTTTTTTACACCCTTGGTATAATTGCTGCTCTAAGTGGGTCGCTCTGTTAGCTGAAGGCATGTTTTACAGTTAATGATTGATTTCTGAATGAGTTGATCATTTTACTGAATGATTAATCATTCAGTAAAATAAAAATGTTGCGGTTAAACGCCTGTGACTCCCTGGATGACCACTAGGTTCACTACGTCATCCAAGGCTCAGTTCCTACACAATCTTCCTGTCCAAGCAAGTATCTGGTTAGAGGAGAATCTCAGGAGGTCATTTATCTTTTTCATCTGTCAAACTGCTCTATAATCCAGGACACCTCAAGTGGAAAAGTTTTTTAGTTTAGTTTAGTTAAAAAAAATCTTCCTTTTGCTATCTAAATAATAATCGGTTAATGGAAAAAATAATCAACAAATGAATCAATTTCCAAAGTAATGGTTAGTTGCAGCCCCAATGTTGTCTGGATTTATTAGAGATTGCTGTCTTTCAGGTTACAGAAGATGCAGGTGGTGCTGAAAGTAAAGGAAGAGTCTCTGAGGAAGCTAAAGCAGGACCTGAGATCACAGCAGCAGGGCGACGAGTCCTGTAAGTTCCCCTGGTTATCAGTGACCACACACCAGATGATCATTAGAGCGCGTTGCTCTTATAGGGCGGTCTGTAGAGGGCCTTGCTCTTATAGGGCGGTCTG